AAGACACGCACAAATATTGCCCTGCGCAAGAAAGACACGCGCAACAAAGATAAGAATGAGCATGCTCATGTCCATATAACGTGGACACCGGCCGACTCGTCATGTGTGTTTGCAAACCCAGCAATCGTATGCCGACACTCGTGTCTATGACGACATTCGGCTGTATGATAGCATTGGGCCCTTCCTGGCTAAACCTTAAACCCTAAACCCGAAAAGCTAAACTCTAAACCCTATACACCCAAAACCTGACATTTTTAGCCATGATCAGGACGAAATTGCCCTGAGCATCGGTGCTGACCCAGTGTATGCAGCTTCCATTGCAGCAACGATATTGCACAACCCTGCAACTGCAAGCCACAGCTTGCCTGTGCGTGCGGCGGTGCCGCCGCCGCCGAAGGCACCGAGTGGGGCGCCAGCTCCTGGCGGCAGTGGTGGTGACGTCCCTTCGGATGAGCCAAAGTCAAAGGGTGCTGGGGCGGGCGAGAGGCCCATCAAGAAGGCCCGTGCGGTAAGGCCAGCTGCCACTTGGAAAGATCAATGGCAATTGCGTGTTTCTTGTTCTTAGGGTTTTGGGTTTGTGGTTTAGGGGTAGGACTTTAATGTTTTCAATGTATGCATGAATGAATTAAGGGTGCTGACATGGAGACCTCGATCGAGAAGATCCAGGGTTGCCACGAGCCGGGGGAGGCATTGAACGCCTTCGTGCAGACATGGATCACGGCGTCTACGAATGCCCAGGGGTCATGTACGAAGACTTGCGTCCAGCTTCCTGGTATACTCATGTGCTTCCTTTCTACATCTTTCTACAACTCATGCACGATCAAACTGGATTTTATGCAGCACCTATATCCTAATGGCCATACAAGGCTGGAGACGCTTGAGTCGCAAGATCAGCTCATGAACTTGCTGCAGCAGTCGATGAATGGGGTGTGCGAGGCTAGGAAGTCGCTTCACTTGCTGGGCAACACCGCCACGCCGGACCAGGTGGCGCACGTGCTTCAGAAGGTTACGCAGCAACCTATAGAAAGCGGTTTTAGCTAGGGTTTACTTTCGTGGTTTGCCACTTCCCCCCCATAGTTCACAACTACCCTATTCTCAGGCTCAGCCTTTCGTGGAGGCGCTCAAGAAGCATCTACGCACAGCTACGAGCTTGATTCTAGCATGCGCAATAAGTCAAGATGCGGTGTTCAATGTGTATGGTGAGCCGTGAACCTTGAATTATACAGGTCGAACTCCTTGGAAACCCTAAACCTGACACGCTATATGGAAGCTGCGTATGAAGCCCAAGCCATTAACCTATATAGACCTGAACTAAACTATACTTCTGCTGAGGATCCAATCCGAGAGCCGCGCGAAGCAGCCGAAGCGGAGCAAGGCAAAGAGCAAGGCCAAGGCGCCGAACCCGAATCCGATCCTTAGTGAGTAGGCCGCTTCGAAGAAGCAGGTCGTGGCCGTGGCAGCTCTTCATGAAGTATGCACGCACACATGTAACAGGCAACATGCCCTGCATAACCTGCACCAGTGAAGCTGTCTTTGCGGCCAGAGTTTAAGGGATGGTGACCATCTCATTTTTTGCGGGATTTCAGAACGCCTTCAGCCGTTCACATGATGGAATGCGATTCAAGAGCATTCAGGATGTCACGAGCAAAATGTAGCAGCCCGAGCTGATGATTGGGACCCACTACGAGGAGTTCCACATGTACGGATTTATGTTTTGGCCCCCTAACAAGTGTATGTAACCCATACCTGTGATTAATAAACCCCCTCCCCTTCATAGGGATTATCATAGGGATTGTGAGCGGTGCCTACATGGTGAACTCTCCTCAGGTAGTTGACGCTTTTCTCAACACGATGATCAGAAGTCTCTGAAAGCTGGATGCTTGTATTGTTGCACTCACAAAGGCTTTGAAGGTAGGAGTGCAGTTGTTTCAACCCACTTGACGTTCCATAAAACGCAAACTTTGGCCGAACTCCCCAACGCAGACTATGGCCCCCATTAAGTATATAAAGAATATATGGCTTCAAAGGGAATATTACAATAAGAACCCCATACACCCAATATTCTATGTATTTAAGCGGGAGTATCGCCAATCAAGCCTACACCTTGTAGCCCTGCTAATTAAGTCCAATGTTGAAATCCTGCGACCAGCCATAAACCGTACCTCAAGTTTTCGGAGCATTCGGTCTAATAACCATAAACGTAGTAAGTTCTGCAGTTGCCATGTGGCGTGAAACCGTCATGATTGGCATGCCGGACATGAACGATGTGGAAGCGCGTCAAGCGCTTGCGGGACAGCAACCTGCCAAAGAAATCTCTGCTAGCTGATGGGCAAACTGGTGCGGCGCAAGCTTCACTAACACAGACAGGTGAGAGCAGCGGATCGCACTCATCTGCTTCCCGAACAGCCTCATGCTCGGATTTTTCACTGAAAAGCCCGCTGACGCGTGAACTGGCGCTCCGGGTGGGCCAGGGTCAGCCAGCTTCACTCCTTCAGCAGGTTGCGCAGGCAGCTGTCAAGGAGTCCGGTGTGGATCATGTGTCGAAGAGTTTTTTGTCCTTGACGGTCTGTTTTGTTTTTTTGTTTGTTGCTGATTCTGAGATATAGTCCTCTTCCTAAATGCAATTGCCACGCTATCTATAGTGAGACACTATAGGCACAGCCTGGGCATCGCATCTGGGCAATGATGGAAGGCGATCCGGGCACATCGAGGGCTCTGTGCACAAGGCCGCTATGAAATCAGCTGATGTGCTCGTCCGCTGCCCGGTGTCACCTGTGACCATCTTGATTAAAGATCGGGCGGCCGAGAAGATCCACCGCCAGGCACTGGCACGCATGCGCTCGTTCAGGAACCGGCAAGCCGCAGCCAAAGGGGCACCGAAGGCGAAACCGAGACCAAAAGCCAAAGCACGCATCAGCAAAAAACCGTGGACTGGAGAACCCGTTCATGAAAACTGGCCAGTGTTCTTGCCGCACCTGATGCTGCAGAGTGTGTTTGCAGCAGGGCTGATCAAGAGTCTGAGCCCAAGCCAAAGTGAGTGGTTTTTTTGAGAAATGGTGTTAATTGTTGGGTTCATAACCTCAACCGCAAGCCACGAATCCATGACTGCAAACCTGCACTTCTCGCTCAGGAGCGGAGATGTTGATTGGCTGGACTTCTGGGAGCACGCTCGTTCCGAGGAATGGGGAGAGACTTTCAGTCTGAATTATAACCCGAAACCGTAACATTGGAGCCTATATCGAATGTAAAACCTTAGTATTCTCAAGGCCTACACGATGCAATGATTTGCTCAAGTGTTTCTTCAGTTTTCAACAGATTAATGCTCGTAAGGAACCACCCTGTCCAAAGCTGGTCCACGGAAGCCAAATCGAAAGCTATAGCAATATCACTTCACGGCGATGAAGGATCTGGTAAACGGACCAAGAGCATTATGATACTGTCGTGGAGTCCACTTGCTGTTCACGATGCTTCGATGCTCAGTAAGTATCCGTTTGCGGCGCCTTGCCCCGGGAGAAGGAAGTGTTTTCTTGTGGGTGTGTTTTCTATCAGCGTAGCCCTACAAACTTATGGAGCCAAGCTGAAAACACTCCATGAACGAATACAAGGTGATCCGCAGCGAGCTGTTTCACTATGGGCCATCTGGACAGAACATTACGCTGGACAATCTGCAGCAACATTTGGCCATGTCGCTGCAGAAAGCAAACAAAGAGGACGGCGCCCTAGCAGGGGGCTTTACATTGCATGTCGTCCTAGGAAAGAGCGACTGGAAATCTAAAAGGGAATGGCTTGCGCAGAGCCGTCATTACAATCTGACTGACGGAATATGCCCCAGATGTTTCGCGCCCGGGCGAGATGGGTCGCCGAAACCGTGGCTTGACTGTCACGAAAGATTCAACAACAACGCGGATCTCCTTGCAGCCAAGGAAACAAGAGTTGGCCCTGCCATTTGGTACCCAGGCTGCACGCACCTGATTACCTTTAGTAGTTCCTGGTTATAACGGGAAACAATTCATTCCTCAATTTGCGAAGCTAACTGCTCTTTGAATTGTTAAATCTCATTTCCTTGACAACATACCACCTTTCCCAAACTCCTGTGTAGCAAGGTTGCACAGCATCGATGGCTGGAGTGGAGCTTGCGAAACAGCTGATGTCATGCACGCTCTGTGGTTGGGAACGGGGCGCGACTGCGTCGGAAGTTTGTTGCTTGACATGGCCGAGTACTGGGATCGATGCAAGCCATTGGCAACCTACGATGAAAGGCTCCTAGTCATTTTGCACGATTTTCATGCCTGGTGTCGAGAAAGCGGCGCACGCCCATCCGCAGTAGATGAAATGAGTATCTTCCATCAACATCATTAGCGCTTTTGCTTTCCCACCCCAAATGATCCAAATGGACATGTCCAGGCACTTAGCGTGCAATCCCCTTATACATGCAAGCCACCAGTAAGGCCTGCAGAAGCTGTCGGTTGGGGCCATCACACTGGACTATCCACTTGGGTATTCCAAGGCGTATACAAACAAAATCCTGCTTCTAAGCTGATCATTGGCAGAAGTGTTTTGGGAGCTCGTGAAGCAAATTTCTGTATTTGTAGCCAAGAGGAAACAATCAATGAAACATAGACTTCAGTGACCAGGATGGCGTACTTGGCTCAGCGGCTTCGGGTGCCCGGATGGCTTCGGCAAATACTTTTTGGGTTTTTTCTGGCGCCGTAGAGCATGTGTGTTGTATGCAAAGGGTCGACTTGCCCTTACCTTACACATTATATTCGAAATCTAGGAGCTTGACATACCGGAGATGAGGGTTCATGCCGTGTGCGCATGGGCTATCAATCGTTACTCGTGCATCCTTGACGCAGCGTCCCTCTGGCTGACGCAAGAGCAGGCTGCGGCCGCGGTCGCGACTCATGTTACTCATTTCCAGGATTTTTTTGTCCGCGTGCAAAGGTTTTTAGGATTTAGGGCTTATAGGGATACTTGGTAGAAATCGAAGCTAGAGTAAAAAAGTACAATGGGGCCCGTAAATCTTCTGATCTCAACCCACCGCAAGGGCGGGACGCCTTTATGTTTCCAGCTACATTCTTCTTGCCGAAGATGCTCTGAGTCGGAGGCGGCCACGCTTCAAGACGAGGCCCAAGCTACATCAACTGCACTGTGAGCTGGTGTGCCGACTCGATCCTTCTCCAGATGCTGTGGCTACTACACGTATCATGGAGGAGGACTACGTCGGGCAGATGGTTAAGATGCTTAAAGGGGCCGTACACACGAAGACACTGGGTCTCAGAAGCTTGCAGCGCTGGCTGCTCCAGTACAACTGCGAGATGGCACCGCGTGAAAACATGTCAGCCGCCGTGTCCCAAAGAAGCCTGAGTATCTTACAAGCGGAGGAATCTTGTGCAGTATAGACGTAGTATATAGATTCAACCGGGTGCAATGAAGTATGGTTTGGCTTTAGTACCCTGTAAATCTGTAGATACTCAGGATTCTTTGGGGTTGCTTGCAACCTTCCCGTTATAAAGCTTGCATGACACATCAATTCCCTCGAGATCTGAAGCCAGCAGAGCCTTGAAACGGGCAGTCCTGTACGTTTACTGGAACCTGTCACATGGGGATTGCAGCTTGGTGCTCCAAATGATAATTCGAACTCTCATGCGACTTAATTGCCCTTACCTGGCACATCGTTTGCTAACCTCACACCCCATCTTTATATGACCTGGCCCCTTATATAAAACACTAAACACTAAACCCTTGACCCTATAAACCGTAAACCCGTAAACCCTTAAACCCTAAACCAGCCCTAAATCCTAAACCCGAAGCCATACCCCAATATTACACCGCGTCTCAAAACTTGAGAAAATCCCTATAAACACTAACATCAAATCCCATGCAGACCAGTTCAGTTCTGAAAATGTACTCACGCAGATTGGGCGTTGACGACGCTAAGTCCAAGCGGTGGCTTCCAAAACTAGGTCAATCATCTACATGAGCTATGGTCTAAACTCCTGGTATCCCCTTAGTACCGACTATCCTTATATTTACACTCGCCTTGAATTTAGCTGTAAATTTAAGGAGTTAGACTATAGCTCATGCAGATAAGGTTTCCCCCAAATCTTACGATTACTTGTGGCATCCACAAAGAAGGTTTCCCTTCTGCTGAGCGGAGCTAAGCTTGGCACGCCCTCAACCCTAAAAACCCTAAAAACCCTAACCCTAACCATGAAGCTCGCGGCGAAGCGCTCGCAGCAACCAGCGAGCTAGAGTCTAAACTCTTTAAAAGGCACCTGTGTTCGCGGTAATAAAGTGGGGGCGGTATATATTATGGGGTTTTTGCAAGGGGGTTCTAAGAGTTCCGACTACAAGGCTCACATGTTGACAGGGGGGTTGGGCTTGGGGTTCTGCGGCCTGTATGGGTTGACTGTAGCTATATAGGAGGGGTATTTGATGCTTGGACTTCCGTGTTGATCAGGAAAGGTTTGGGAGTGATTCGTTGCTTTGGTTGATTTGCTCGCTCGCTTCGATCTTCTGGCAAAGGGCTCCAACAAGAACACACCCCTGAAACGTACCTTTGTCTAGCCAATATATGTCCTTACATAAAACCTGATGCGCCCCGACTTGCCTTTTCAAGGATCTAAATGGTTGATGTTCAACATCCTGTGTGATTAAACTTTTTTTATATGGCGTGTGTTGCACCTGGGACATGCGTTAGCTTAAAGATTCCAATGTTATGTATAGGGTCATCGCAGGATTTTGAATATCCAAATTGGGAGTTGGTTTGGGAATTCCTTCGGTTCATGCGTGGCATTAAGCATCACTTCCATCACAGATCACGGTGTTTCGACCCAGATCCTCCTTGGGGGCCGACCTATATATGTTCACAGTAAGTAACTTGCAGTCCATAATAATTTGTCATTCACAACCACTATTTTGAGCATGGACCTAAACCTTTACATGTGTACTCATCATCCCATCCTTCGCTCTGAGCGCTTGGTATTACGGTCCTGCGAATTCTAGCTCGGGAGTAGTGTACGTCATCCACTTCTACAGACGTCATATTTTGCAGGATGATCATTATCAAGCTCTGTGTGTGGGTTTGATATGCTTGGCACAATCTAGGATTCTTCGGTAAGGTGTGTAAGGTTTAGGGTTGGGATTACGGGATTTCATGACCTCACCACGTGTGAAATCCATTCGCCCCGGAAGTAGCGCACGGGTTTATATGTTCAGATTGTATTTTGTCTTTGGCAGGTTTAACGTGCCTTAATATTTTTTGCCGTAGCCCTAGGATCTTGGACTCAGGGATTTGCCATCAACATGCCCTGAAATCTGGGGTTGCAGAGCAACATGTTTAGGTTTCATTTCGGACAATTTGAAAGGACGGTCTTTATCGTAAGCGATGAAGACAACAAGCATCCAGGCCTAGTGGCTGGCTCCTTCAGCTAGCGGCATTTCTCTTGTGCATGCGTTGTGAGCGATCTGGACTACGAATTGAGGAGGGCAGTGCTGCGTGCAAATTGTGCTCCACATTTTGCGTGCGGGTGTTGGCATTCGCGCGCAACCCCGAAACCTTTACCTTGTTAAATTCATATCCCTATATAACCCTAATCCCTAAATCCTAAACCCATGTGTGGTAACATGACCATACACTTTTTTTCATAACTCTTTATACTACTATTCTTACGATTTGCGTAAACCTGCCATCAAAATCATAATGGTTTTTGGTTCTTGGCTCAAGTTTTCAGTGGGCAGCTACCCACATTGTTACTGGTTGCACGCAGATACGCGCCTTCAAATGATTAATATCAGCCCAGATGGGTGCCTATGGCATGACCAGCCCCGAAAGGACAAAAAAGAGCGTAACGTAGCCCGATGTCCTTTCAAAAAAGAGTGCTGAACGCACATTTTCCGAAAGGACTGGTCTTCAGGTTCGCCCAATTTACCACACATGAGAAGGTCCAAAAATTCGTGCGCAGTCAAAAGAAACATGTGGGTATGCGACAGCACAAGCTTTGGGCGGCAGAGAACAAGCCCGCCGCCGAAAGAAAACGCGGCAAGATTTTGAGCAAAATCAAAAAATTTTCCATTGAGCTCGACAACATTGAGCCACGTAACATTTTGGTGAACTATCGGAGCTGCAAGGTGTCGTTCCGACATGACGGACAGCTCGTTCATGCAGCTTTCGTGGCTGAGGATGGCGTCGTGGAATGGGCCGCTCAGAACTGCCCAGTTAGTACGCAGGTCCAGGATGCCATCAGAGATTTTGCAGATGATTTGGAGTAGGACGAACTCCCTTTTCCAGATGCCAGACGGATCCAATTTTCTCGCGCTGTGTTGCACCAGGGTATATGATGCATGCGACTTCACCTTTGCAAGTCAAACTGCATGTTGCTACCAAAAAATGTACAGAGCATGAGGGCCGAGGTGCCGTTTCAAGACTGCTTGTCGGAACTA